GTGGTCGGACTGTGAGCTCAGGGCAAGGGGGGCAGGGTGTGCGGGTGGTTTCGTTCATGAAGCGTGAGCTGACGGCAGCGGGTGGTAACGCCCTGGGCGGGGGGTTGGGTGCAGGGTAGGGTTGAGGGGTGGCGTCGTGCTGTGAACATGAGAGGGCAGCGGTCAATGATACGGCAGAGAGGGGGGGAGCTTTCAGGTTGCCGGGTGGCGTCGCAGTCGGAGCGTCAGGTCATGTGGGCCAGTGAGCCCTTGGGCAGCCGCCTCCCAAGCAGGCAGCCGTGCGAGCTACCACCGAATCTGTCGAGGCAGCGCAGCACCCCTGCGTTACCCTCCTCCCCCCCCCACCAGCTGCAATTCTCGCAGGCCCCCGCGCGACCGCCCCCAAAAAGCGCGGCCCCATGCCCGGAGGGTGCCACGCCCCCTCTCCCCGGCAAGCCGCTGCACCCTTCACACGCGCACACACACATACACACACACGCGCGCAGACACATGCGCACACCCAGACACTCACCCGAGTAACCCTCGATGTCCGTGACGACCACGCTCATCCTTCCGGCCCTCGGCATCCCCCGCGCCCGCTTCGCGATCGCCATGAACGCCCGCACGGGCTTGCTCGCGCGGCGGCAGCAGAAGCAGTACCCGAGGGTGATCAGCACCGCGCCGGTCGCGCCCACGAGCGCCACGATCAGGGCGATCTGCCAGGCGAGGATCTGGTCTTTCTGGGTGCATGTCTTCACGACCATGTCAATGTCTGGGTAGCCGTAGGGCGCGAGGTCGGGGTCGCCCCACAGCAGCTGCTGGCTGTGGTCGTATGACTCCTTGAAGCCCTGGGGGTTGAGTTATGGTATGAGCAGGGGGGTTCCGTTCTCAATTGTCCAAAGAAGATAGTTGTTGTGTGTGCCCAGGGGGTTGCTGTGTTGGTTGTCTAGGGGCATTTGCCAGGGGCGTTCCAAATTTGGGGTGATGTACACGTGTGTGTGTGTGTGTGTGTGTGTGTGTGTGTGTGTGTGTGTGTGTGTGTGTGTGCGCGCGCGTGCGTGTGTGTCTGTGAGTGAGTGGGGACAGGCTTGTGTTTGGGGAGGTCGATGCGTTGCGCATGTGCGGCATAGCGTTGCTATTGAGGCGCGGCGAGACATGACGCGCAGCCGTCTGAGGCGCCGCACCGCACGCCGCGACGCGGCGCACGCGCCGCCGCTGGCTAGCCGGAAGACGAGGGGATTTGAAAAGCGGAAGGCGTACAAGGACCGCCGCAACCGCCGGCTGGAAGCGGGCCCCAGACAGCCGGCCGGCAAGGCATCGATACCGACTGCCGCAGCCGGTTCGCACGTCCGACCCTCAAAGCGGCGGAGGCGGAAAAACAAACACCTCAAGCTCCCCGCTGCCCCTGCTGCCCCACCAACCCCTAAGAACAAGCCCCACCTTCCCGGGCCCCAGACCCCTCGCCCCTCTGCACCCACCGCGACGCAGCCGCAGGCCTTGAACCAATAGTATTCGGGGTCAATCCGCCAGACCTGGCTGCTCAGATTCGCGGGGGACAGCACCTGGTCCGTCGTCGGCGCGCCCGGCGCGCGCACGATGGCGGGGCACCTGCGGGGCGGGCGCGGGGGTCCGGCGGGGCCGCGGCGAGCGGGGTTGTGCGGGGCGGTGGTGGTGGTGCGCCTCGGCCCCGGGGCCGGATGTGCGGCTGCCGCGGGGCCGCGCCGCGGGCCCCGTTGTCTCTCGGAGCAGCCTTGGGCGGGCCGGGGGGTTGCCCCATGCTGGCACCCTCATGGCCACAGGTCACTGGGGGCCGATTGAAACAGCGTCACCCGCAGCAGCCTGTTTCTTGTCATCGCGCCCTCCCTTCTATGGATCCATATGCAAAGAACGCAAGGCATGGAAGGCAACAGCGAGCGGCCCTGAAGCCGCACCCAGCAGCAGCTGGAGCAAACGCCAGCAGGCAACCCATGTGGCGTTGGCCAGCAGGCAGAAACGCTCCCGGCATGCTCTCCCCTCAACATCCCCCCCCCCCCAAACAACAACAATGTCGAGCTTGCTTCAGACACCTGATCAAAGCTGCAGGCTTTGGCAAGCAGAGTCACTTTCTGCAAGCTCTTCGGCCCCCTCTCCTCCCAAAAACCAACATCAATTATGCTTCATAAAGCTGACCACGTCCGGGGCGCCCGGACAGCAGGGGCCACTCACTGCATGTTCTCCCCGGGGTCGCTGGCCCCAGTGGGCTGCGCTGCCCTGAGCGTGAAGTTGAAGAAAACAGAGTCCAGCCGCGCGGGCGTCTCCCACAGCGGCGGGTCGGAGAACCTCACGTACTGCGGCAGCAGCCCGTCGAACGCCCCCGGACTGCCCGGACTGGCGCCGCGGGAGACCGCGGACTGGATCAGCGCGTCGGCGTCGGCGGTGGAGTTGCAGCAGGTCATGAGGGTGTTGCGGATGTCGACGACCATCAGGTAGGGCAGCTCGCCCAGTGCGTCGGGCAGGGCGCCGCGGAGGAGGGTCTGCTGCAGGTGCAGCTCCTGGAGGCCCAGCATGAAGCTGGGGGGTGGGT